TAGATCGAAAGCGGAGGCTGTATCCCCATTATCCGTCGTTGTGCCGTCGATCCTCCGGGGAGGAAGAGCTGGTAATCTGTCTCTCTCGATTGTGGAGACCCACGGGGGCGTTTTGGGGGAAAATTTTCCTTCGTTCCGGTTTTTTTCTTCCCCGGAGGATTGAAGTTTATTTTTATACTTTTTTTTTCATGCGAGGTTCAGCGTCCTCTTAGGCCTATTTTGATAGATATTGCCCTCTGAGATCCCCTGAGATCCTCTGAGATCCTCTGAGATCCTCTGAGATCCCCTTAGACCAAAAACCAAAGACCCAGCAGAAGAATCGCGCGTAACTTTCAAAATTCCGATTATCCGTATTAACCAAGTACGAAATCAACCCAAACGGTATCCCTTCAGCGAACGCAGAGCGGTACTCCCGCGACATCTGTCCACTCTGGAAGGAACTCACCAATCGCGGCTCGGAACGCTAGAGAGCCGACGCGTCGGACCTCCGCCTGCACATCGTCACCCACATCTCGATCTCGCAACTGTGACCGAAGGCAATCCTCGCGACCGAGCCCATAAGGGATAGTGGAGGCTGTGCCTTTTTTTGGCTCCTGTGCTTCTGTGAGGTGTTGCCTGGTGCTTCTGGTGAGCACCAGGCTTACTGGCTGGCTGAACGTTCCTTATATTTAATAACGTTGAAAAAATTTGCTCCTTGAAAGAAGTTATATAATTTAATCGTGATAGATTTTATGCGGAATTTATTCCAGGAATCAGGAATCCAAGATCTACTCTGTGCTGCGATGGCGATGCGCTGCACACTTCTTTGTTTCGCTCTGCCTTGGGAGAATTACGTGTAACTCCGAATCAGAGGCGCACCCAGGTTTATTGTCACTATCACTAAGTATCTAAGTATCACTAAGTATCTCGGTAGGCGGAACCGGAAAAATCTTATCGGGAGGCACTTATGACTTCTCTTTCACGGGTGTTAAAATAATGCAACGGCGACAGAGCAAACAAGAGGGGACCGGGGGGAGGGGAATGGGAACTGGAGCAAACTAGCGTCGCACGGGGTTTGGATAATTATTAGGGCAAAACTCATGCCAACTCATGCAGACACACGAGAAGGGGCTAAGTGGCTTGGAAGGGTCCAAAGACTCGAGCCCCATACCTCGCGCACGTGCGGCTCCACTCTCAATGATCCCATTCATGCATATAAGAATAGTTCTGAACGTACGAGGGAAGGCTACAGAAGGGGGAGATACGAGATTGTTCCTCCTCCATTCAGATTCTTTCACTTTCCCTTAACCAGCGGGTCAGCGTGACTCATACCCGTCTGCTACCGCACGCAAGCGCAGGAAGGCTTGAGTCTAGAATCTTCCAGGGATTACGACACGGAATACCAGCACGATTTTATCAAAGGTCACGAATTTCATTTGTATGTTTTTAAATAAGAATTTATATGAAAGAAATAGATAATTCAGGACAGTATTTGTGCAGTTTCGACCCGAGTCTACAAAACAATATCATGCACGACTATAGGCCTTTGCATGAGGGAAGTGAAGCCAGCGACCGTCATGGAAATTTCTAGCACTGTCTGGTGACGGGAGAGGCGGCCCATTGGTGGTATAACCATCCCCGGCTTTCCCCGGTTCCCCATGAATCGCGAATGGCATGGCCACGAGTTCTTTCCGGTTGAGGCATGGATCCGGTCAAGGCAATTTGCTTGAGTGTTTTTACAACAGGTCTAGACCTACGTTAGTTTTTGGGGCTGAAGGTTACTCGTACACCGTGAGCGATGCATTTTTGTGCAGCCAAGGTAGGTAGGCCTAAGTTAGACCTACGTAGGCCTAACGTTAGACTCTACTCCCGAGCTGAATTTCAAGAACAGAATTCAGTCTACCACGTTGACCTAAAAGTTAGCCAGCTACAGGCGCTGCAACTGCTAAGGTTTTCATAGATCGGCCGAGGTTTATGCAAGCATTGAGAGTTCAAGTGTAAGATTCGTCCGAGCTGTATGGCCTTGGGATTTTTGTAAGTGTAGGCAATACATTTAAGCAGAAAATGCTATGAGCATGAAAGAACATATCTAGACCTGTTTAGTCGAAGTATAGGTTAAACATAGACTGCAAGTAGTACTTAGTGCCCAGAGCGATGCTGAATGCTAGGTCCTTACTTATCCAGTTTTCATGTTGCATTTGCATTGTGTGTGCCTGTCAGATATCCAAGGCTTAACACATTGAATGCCAGGGATTGATGATCAACCAATCTTTGCCGAGCAGCACAGTGGAGGTTTGCTGTGCCAAACATGCCTTATGGCATGAACGGCAGGGAAATTGTCATGCATAGTAATAGGAAATCATTTACATGATATTATTTGTGTACTTCACTAATGTACATTTTATGTACATCAGCACCCAGGCACCTCACCACCAAGCTTTAAGTCCATCATTCTCTCTGCCACTGTATTCCTCCATTTATGGTGTATTGCATAGCTTGTACCCATGGACTTTCTCTGTTTGATATGCACACTGCAGTCCTCCCATCCTTGCATTACTGCTGTATGAAGCCACAAGTCCATGCTCTTGACACATAGGGCAGTCTAAAGGCATGGCAGGAATGGGAGTCAGAATTTCTCCTCTCACAATGTTACATGTTCTCATCAGGGTTACCTTGTTTGCGTCAAAACAATTTTGTGTTTTTTGCATTGTCCCATTTTTTAAACTTGCATGAATGGTGCTAGATGACCCCAGAAATTCCACTGCCTACTCCTGTCACACTAGAATGCTTATACTTATATTTAATAGCACTGTTTGTACCCTAAATCAATATGATTGGGTTATGACTGCATTGTTCCCACTTCAGGAGTCACATTCTCCCCTGCAGGATGGAAACAAAAGTTTTTCTCAGATTCTGTAGTAAGACTGCAATGCAGTTGCTATTCTGAAACAAGAATGTAAGACTTGCATGGGAACATATTTTGAATTGTTCTTTGTGCAATTACTGGCTATAAAGAAAAAATCAGCATGAGAAGGTTATTAAAGAGCCCTTCTGAGGAGCCAGAAAGAAATACAATGGGCTTGAAATAGGCAATTGCTAAGGAAGAGGTAAAGTCTTGACTCGCAGACCATCTAAAAAGTCAAAGAAATGAAGTTTCATTGAATTGAGAGATGCTACTGTCAAAACTCTTTGAAGCAATGTAAGTGAACCTACTCAGATGAGGAGAATCCTGAGGATGAGACTACAAGTGAAAACAGATTTTCATTGTTCACCTGATATTTAGGAAGATCTCAACAAGTCAAGTGACAAAAATAATTATATATAGTTCTCACCCTTGGTGACTTGAATCAGAGGAGTGTTTAAGAACTACAAGTATTTCCTGGCCAGGTTCTCTTAAGTACTGTAGCAGCAAGATAAAATGATCCCATTTTAGTTGTATAGGCTATTAGCCAAGCATGTTTACTTTTTGACTATTGTGCATCTTGTGAACACCATGTACACCCCAAGTTTGTTATATGAACACTCACTGGAAGCCTATGTGTACACCTACCTAAGGCTCTATACACTTATCGTATGACAACATGAACATATTGCTGCTCTCCCTTGTATGTTACTTATTTACTTGTGCGGATGATGGGAACAGCTTGCTGTAATCCCTTGTCTGTCTGTTTTCTTGGTGTTTCTGCACATTTGTATTAAGGAAGCTTGCACTTGTGTTATTCCTGCTATCCTTTCCTGCTCCTGCTGCAGTTTGCCTATCTCATCTTGGTGGCAGTACGGTTTGTGTTGATGAAAGCATACCCACCAGCATACGATCCACCATCAAAAGTAATTCTACATATTTCCATATGCCAAAATGCACATCATTTTTCTTCAGTCATGCCTTTACCCCATGATAAAAAAAAACACTTTAGTGGATGGTGTCACTACCTGAATTCAATTGAAATGCATAGAGGTGCAAATTCAATTAGAAAATGGTTAGTGACTCAGAGACTGCACCAGAAACGGCTTTCCTCAAGACCCTCTGAGTGTGCCCCCCCATTGCAACTGTCTTGTCCATGCCAGCACTGAGCATAAAATATGGGACTGCATAAAATATGAGACATTACGTGATTGTGAGGTCCGCAGCCCAATAATCGAAGCCATTTGGATGAGGGGAAAAGCTAGTTTCGTAGCTTCAATATGGTGCTTCCCACAAAATTCTCAGAAATTGGCAAGCTGTCTAAGTTGTCTGAATTGAAGCTGGGAAATATATTTTTTAGGCCTCCACCTTTGTACCCTAAGTATTGCTACCTTGATGTTCACAAGGCAATGAATGGATGTTGAGGGGAGGTGTACCCATGGTGTCCACAAGACGTACAATAGCCGACTTTTCTGATGGACCTCAGGCTGTATCTCTACTCCATGTATGTGCCAACAGTTATATGAAACATAGGCCTCTTAAGCTGAGTTTTCTGCTTGGTTTTTCTGGTTTTCTTTGATTACTCTTGAGGTTATTACCATGCAGACCTATGGCTGAGAGAGGTGCAAGGAAATTATAAGAGCAGGAGGCAGTAACCCTGCACTTAAGCCAGATCAATTGCACTAATGACATTTTCTCAACTTGAGAAAAGGGGGCATGAGTTCATAAGGCACTGCTTTTGTGTGTCAGTATAGATGAACATAACCCCTAAGGGTTAAGTACCTGATTGTAGACAGATCAAATAGGTCTAGGAGAGACATCTGCTGTTTCAAGTGGCCCATGTATAATAAGTATTTTGTATTTGTCATTCTTGAGCTTGTGAAGGAAATATTCTACTCCAGATAGCTTGCATTAGCCCATTTGTCAATACTCTAGTCACTGATATGGCCGATCAAGTACTCCCTAACAAATTTACTGGAATATGTACCTCATGCTGCCTACATGAGTACATCTGGCCTTCGTTAGGCCATGATAATTAACAAATACCTCATCCTCATAGTTAAGACTAAGTATAAGTCTATCATTCCATTTACTTGTAATGCTGATTTCTGAATGTATTCCTTCTAGGTACCACAAGAAACAAATATTCTTACAGGAGTTGGATTCCCGCCTTAGGTTCACCCATTTTCAACAGATAGCATACTATTTTCTAATTCAGTTTGGGAGTCACTAGAGATAACATGTCTGTGATAGGAATAGACTTTGGGAATGAATCTTGTTACATTGCTGTGGCAAGAGCTGGTGGTATTGAGACCATCACCAATGATTACAGTCTTCGTGCTACACCGTAAGTTTGACCAGCCTACTATCTTGCTGCTGTTTATTTATTGCCCTGACTGTGTTTCTCTGCTATGAAGCTAGGCTGCTGTAAATAACACTTCAGATACTGTGATCTCATTCATTTTTTCTGAAATGATTTTCACTATATAGGTCATGTGTTGCATTTGGAGAAAATACAAGAATTCTGGGAGTGGCAGCAAAGAATCAAATGGTGACTAACATGAAGAACACAATTTGGGGTTTCAAGAAATTGCTGGGACGAAGCTTCCGAAGTCCTCTTGTCCAAAAAGAAGTTCAGGCATTCCCATTCCCTGTGATTGAGATGCCTGATGGGAGCATTGGTGTCAGGGTATGGTTCTTTTCTGTGTGTTGCAAAATTTTTTTTTTTTCCATTTTGTGATAAGTATTTTGCTTTTGTTTTCCTCATCCAGGTTTATTATGGAGGAGAGGAGCAAACGTTCTCCATACAGCAGGTCACAGCTATGCTCTTCACCAAGTTGAAGGAAATTGCTGAAGCAGCTTTGCATACCAAAGTGTGCGACTGTGTGATCTCTGTGAGTTGGCCAAGATTTTGTATGAGGATAGCTGCAAAAGTTCCTTGTCCTTAGTACTTGTTGCTGCAATACAGTGTTCGCCCTTTCCGTTGAAAGTTGACTGGCTAAGTTTGATTGTATTTCTCAAGAAATTAGTGTTTTGCTTTTGTGGCTTTATGGGGAAAGGAGCTTATTCAACTTTCTGGTATTTTTTAATGTAAAAAAATTGACCAGAATTGAAATGACTAGCATCATTTCACTTGATTTTTTTGAACTCCAAAACAATCCTGGCAGCTTTGGCTAGAGGGGTGAGTATTTACAGGCAGGAGATTTCCTTGACCTACTATCAAGGAAGTAGCTCAAATAGCTCCATAGCTGAAAGGAAATTATCACCTTATTTGTCATCATGGGGCTGCCAGTCCAGGACAATTTGTTTCTGATCAGTTGCATGAAGAATGGGGTTTAATTAACTATGATATACTGAAATTCAGAGCTCTTCTAATAAATAGACTATTGATAGTGGTGGAAGGTGAACTTGAATCTTAGGTGTTGAAGCTTAACTTCAGGTAATATTAGCTGTCAAGTCATGTGTACATCATATAGAATGGGTCTTTCCTCCTCCTGCAGGTCCCATCTTACTTCACAGATGCTGAACGTCATGCACTACTTGATGCAGCTGCAATTGCAGGGTTTAATGTTTTACGCATCTTGAATGAGCCTGCCGCTGTTGGTCTGGCATATGGGATCTACCACCAAGACCTTCCTCCACCTGAGGAGAAGCCACGAAATGTCATCTTCATTGATTGTGGCCAATCTACCACCCAGGTTGCTGTGTGCGCCTTCAACAAAGGGAAGCTGAAGGTAAAGCCCAATGCAATTGTTCATATGCTAGGCCAATGTCCAACACTGACCAACTGTGAAATATAGGGTCTTTCTAAATTAGGTTGCAATTTTGAACAATTATATCTCTGAAATGAATTGAGCTGTGAATATGAAACAAAGTGCATTTTAATACTAAAGACCTGAAAAGTTTTCCTATTACAGTTTTCACAAATGTTCTATGTGGTGTCCTCTTGTAACATGGACAATGTCCCATTTGTACAAGAGTTCCTCCCACACATGAGTAAGCATGTCAATGTTAACTGTGGCAACAGCTGCAACACTTTGTTTACCAATTTCTGATAGACTTAGATAGGAGGTGGTTTTCCATATTGCCATCGAAAACAACACTGCACAGCAGTTTCAGACTTTGTTTCATTAAACCATAACACAAACGCAGCATGCTCACTTCCTGTGAATATGCCATTTTACTTCATGACTGTTGTCAGCACTATAAGCAGGAGATAGGACAACTAACCATGCAAAAGAAAACTTCCATTGTCCTCCAACAGAATGCACTTTGTTTCATTTTCACAGCTCTGTTCATTTCAGAGATATTGTTAAAAATTGCAACCTAATTTAGAAAGACCCTGTATTGTTGATTTTGCTTCCTGGGAAATCAGAGATGTGTCACATTTTTATAGCCCTGTTTTCACTACTGGCAGAGTATGATCCCATACTCTGTTGTCAGAAGTCAAGACCCACTCATGGAAGTGGTGGTGGTGGTGGTTGTCAAGATGTAGCTTCTCAATGGACTTTAGTAACTGTATGACTAACAGTTAGCAGGCACTTATGGCCTGTCCATGGTATGGAATAAGCTAAGGAATGCTCAAGAATATATTGGCTGGTGAAGCAATAGCCATATACTGTAATTTTCTGGGTGGGCCTTTCTTTAGGGCAAGGTAGAGGAGAGACTGACAGTATATGTCATGAAAACAATCTATCCAAAATGAAAGATAGTCAATCAATTTAGAATATGAAGAAATTGGGCATAGCTTGGTCTATTAGTGAACCTCTTTTGTGCATGCATAAAAAAAAAATTTTTTTTAAAAGGTAGCCATGATATGAGATATGTAGGCAGTAGAAGAATAGAGGTAGGTGCCTGGATTTTGTATGTGTGTAGATGGGTAGTGGTTTGGGTAGAAAAACCTTCCAAAGGAATAACCTTCCACTCTACTTCATGCTGGTGTTAAGTCCATTCACTTTTTGCATGCATAGGCAGCAGGAACCTAGGGTCCCCCCCCCCCCCCCCCAACCTTCCTCCCCCTTGTGCTCTGTAAAGCTGCATGTACATCTCCATGATCTGGACAGATATGTCAACAAGACAGGAAAAGGAATTGGAATCAGACCAATGTTGTCCAAGCAAGTAGAAGATATGATGAATTCCTCATTCCTTGTTTAATGCCTCATTTTATTAAAATAAAAGACAATGAGATGAAATATGAGAAAAGAGGAACCTGCTGAAGTGATCCAAAACAGAAGTTTGCCTTAAGATTTGCAGAGTTTTTTTACGCAGAAGTTATCATAACTATACCTGTTCCTCAAAACACAGGCTGTTTGAGAACTAATAGGCACATTCACTGTGATACGGCACTGCAATTTATTATTTCCATCAGTCACTTCCAGTGACGAAGAGTCAGCCATAACTGATGCACAAACACACTGTAAAGTCAGAAAGGAGACTGACCTAAGTGATGGATCCAGCAACCCTGATTCCCCCTGAACCCTTCTGCACCATAACACCAAATTAGGCATCACCATCTTGCCAATGACTTGTCATGGCCTTTTGTTTTGTCTATTGGGTGATTATACCTTCCTTTGTAGAGATAAAACTATGCATGCAAATGATGAATGGACTATATAATAGTTTCTCAACTTTTTAATTTGTTTTGCAAGAAATTCAGCTTTGGATAAGGTGATTCTAAAATCAAGTGGGTGTCATGTTTTGTGTTGTAGTGAAGCATAAAGTAATTCTCTTTTATTATAAACATTAGGTTTGTGCTTGAGCATACACACACATTGATAAAGTATTCAGTGCATCTCACTATTGAATACCAGACATGTTTAGTGTTTGCCATTTTGAAATTCCAAAATGTACAATTTGAGTCAATATGTTGGTAAAGCATCATTTTTTTGTAATTCTCACATTTTTCTTGTCCCCTATTATTATTCCTAATTTTGCATTAAAAGCATGAATCTTTAACCCATACCTGAGTATTTGCAGTCAGACATGAAGTAATGGAAGAGATTGTTTTAAAATGGTACATCAGCTTCCTTCATTCACTGTTGTAACAGGCAGATACAGAAATTTTTCATAGGGGGGGCGGACCCCTCCTTCTTGCCTTACCCCCCCCCTACCTTCCACCACTCCCTGCCCTATTGCCTTTTTCATTTCTCATTTGGGGTTAAAAACGTGAATATCTATTATTCTTGAATTTCTATTCTTGAGTATCTATTGAATATCTATTTCCCTGACCCCAATAAAAATAAATGTAGAAGCTATAAAAAAAAGAATAAAAAAGAAATACCTACCATAGTCACCCCCCTGCAGTCCCCCCCCCCCCCCCGTATCTGCCCTTGTGTTGTAATCAGTTGAAAGATTGCACTGAATTATTGAGGTATCTCTTCATATCCCTTTGTCTCTGTACCTCTTCTGAATTCAAGTGAAACGAAGCCCACAGCTTGAGAGTACTCTCCCTCATCTGCTTTTGTATTTAAAGATGATTATTGAATGTAATGATTCTTATAGATGTTATCATGCTTGGCTGACCCAAATCTTGGAGGACGAGACTTTGATAATGAGTTGGCTCTTCACTTCGCTGCTGATTTCAAGAAACGCTATAACATCGATCCCATGAATGATAAGAGAGCTTGGCTTCGTCTTCTCACTGAAGTGGAGAAGCTAAAGAAGCAGATGTCAGCCAACTCTAATGAGCTCCCCATGAACATTGAGTGCTTCATGGAAGAGAAGGATGTTTCTGCTCGCATGAAGAGGTTGAAATTAATCCCTTGCTTGTGTTCCTATTGTCATGGATAGCATGCTGTTTAATAATTTTGTCATATTTTTAGACTTTGTATATGATTCTGTTGTGATTATTTTCAGGGCTGATTTTGAAAAGCTAACAGAGAATTTACTAAGGAGGGTTCACCATCTGATGAGAAGCTGTCTGCAAGATTCAGGTGAGTCCAATGAGTGCCAAATTTATTGACAGTGGAATTTCTTCAGCACTCCTGAAACCGCTCTGGTTCTTTTTTTCGCATGAAATTCAAGATCAGAAAAGAAAGGCTTTATTCTTCAAACTCATTGAGAGCAAAGTCATGGCATGTTTCTTTTGACTAAAAAATCTTCAGAGTGTAGTACTCTTTGAAACAATCATAAAAATGCAGTGGTATGGAATGTTTATTGATGTTTTACCCAGTCAAAGGGTTGATAGAATATTTATGTGCTGTATCGCCATTTTTATATTCTTACATCTCAAGTAAGGTAGCCCTTAGTAGTAGTGAAGCTATTCGAATTCACAATTTGGAAAAGTTTTTGCATTCAAGTGGTGGCATGCTTGATTACTGGGCAAGAATATGATGAAAATAGTCAATCCATTCGCAGAAGCTGGTGAAGATGGCATCTTCAGGGTGAAGGTGAAGCTAATTTTCTCCTTGGGTTCTCTAAGGAAGGATTTTGGCTGCCTTTAATTTCTGGGGATGTGCTGTTCTTCCAGCGAAGATGATCGTTTTCCTTGCTGATTCTTGTCTCCCTGAATTCTTGCATGCCTTTGTTCTGGAATGCGCTAACTCTTCCAGCAAGTGCTTCATTGTTTCATATGTGTTGTTGGCTTCTTCAAGGCCTGCGAGTGGAGGATGTGCATTCTGTGGAGATTGTTGGGGGTTCATCTCGAATCCCAGCGATCAAGCAATCCATCCAGGAAACGTTCAGGAAACCACCATCTACTACACTAAATCAGGTGATGTTTTAATTCTTGTTGCACCCATGGATACAAATTTCATGTCCACAATGTGGTTTAGTGCTCTTAGGTTTATTTCACTTTGTTCACATATTGAGATTGTTTCTGCAGCAGTAAAGCCAGGAAGCAAACTTTGCACTTTCTAAATGATGCATTGAGCTTAATGTCTTGCATATTTAGAGTTGACTGTAGGATATTGGCAGGAAGAAGTAACCTTTAAGGTGTGCTTCTGTTTATACCCCAGTCATATTATTGTGAAAAGAGAAAAGCAATGACTTTCAATCCATATGTCTCTGCTTTCACTGGAGGTATAATCACTAATAATTGTGCTGTTCAATGGTATTGTTGATAAGGTGACTGAAGGGTGGCAAAATAAGATTGAAATTTTCTAATCTGCAAGAAGTAAAAAATTATTTCAGACCCTCAATGATGAGTAATGATGTTTTCCTTTTCACTCTGTCTCCTTGGTACATTCCTTTATTTTTATGTTTTCCATAGACTAAGGAGGAGGGTGAATTCTCATGAAAATGTTACAAGTTTATTATTCAATTTTTGTCTGACACATGCACTTTTTTAAAACAGACTTTTAATAGTTTCATTCAAATCTGTTTTTTAAAAAAAGTGAGGCTATAAGCCTTGCTTTTTTGAAAATTCAAAACAAATTGTAAATGGACCTGGGACTGCAAGCCCCTTGAAGTGAGTAAACTCTGCCTGCCATATTTTTGACATAGAGCAACAGTAGATAGGGAAAATTTTCGACGGACTTTAACCTTTTATTTTACAGATTTAAATCTCCTGTGTTAGCACTAGCAGCCAGATATTTTCTATGAAGCTTGTGAAAACTCACTAGCTGAGTAATGTGACTATTCTTAAAAGAAACTGTTGACAGTGAAACCATTATTGACATAGTATAAGAACATTTTCCATAAAAGTTGCAGTACAGCATTTGTACTTTAGGATCTGGAAAAATGCATTCTGTGGCACAGCAGTTGTCTTTTGTCTGAGTAAGGTAAAGCAAACTCTGTCTTGTAAATTGGAAAAAAATATCAAAGAAGAAATGGCTACCCCAAAGAATGAATATCAATTGAAAAGTTCAATTAAGTCTGGATAATGCACAACCATAATCCAATAGCATTTCCCATTCTCCATTACACTACTAACACACCCTCTAGTCCATTTTCACTATTGAACTTCTGAATTTCTTTTGCATTAAAAAAAATTTTTTTCCTAATTTTTATTTTCATTTTCCTAAGCCTTGCTTTGCAAAAATGAGTGGGATTATTTTAAAGTTGTGCTGAAAACAAATACATATTTGCACAATGCAAGTACATTTGTAAGTAACTTATTAGGAGCTAATAGGTTGAAGGTTGTTGGTCCTTTTTTTTCCTTATCCTCTGCAGGACTCTGAGCATACTTATTAACCTGTCATGGTGTGGTTTTTTTGTTGTAGGATGAAGCAGTTTCCAGAGGTTGTGCCCTTCAGTGTGCTATGCTCTCTCCAGCATTCAAAGTGAGAGACTTCAGTATATCTGATGTCCAGATGTACCCTATCACCCTCAAATGGCTTGGCCCTGATAGTGAGGATGGGTATGTACATGTACTCTCTTTAGCTCTTATTTCCAATCTTATTGCCTTATGGGGATAAAATTCTGATGATTGATTGTCACTGTATGGAATATCCCATTTGTTGAGAAATCTTTTGAATCGTTTTTGAACATTCAATGTTGGTCAGTTCCTGATAGACTTCCTATTGATATCAGAGTTTCACAACCTTAAAATTAACTTTATGGGTGTTGACCCAAATGTCATGTTTTTACTCTTACTCTGGATTTCATTAGTCCATTTGGCAATTGGCATGTTCCAGTCTCCCCTAGATTGCTGATACATGAAAATTCTGCAAATTTTAAGCTAAGTCTCCTTGTAGGTTTGGTAATACAGTTCTTGCATGAGAGCATTAGAGACCTGTTAGGCTTACTAACTACTCATTTGATGATGTAGATGTGATTGATGCAATCAGCTGATGTAATGATGTGTTTCAGAGAGATGGAAGTGTTCCCTGTAAACCACCAAGTCCCATTCTCGAAGATGTTGACTTTCTACCGTAAAGAACCCTTCACCCTTCAAGCGGTTTACTCTGGCAACATTCCATACCATAACCCTGTGATCGGTGAGTCTAGCCTCTGTGTGGATTTTGCCTTTTTGCCAAGATTTAGAGTCTCATGTTACCTTGTCTGGTTGCAGGGGAATTCAAGATTGACAACATCACCCCAACTGCAGAGGGGGAGAGTCCGAAGATAAAGGTGAAGGTGAGGGTCAACATGAATGGAGTGTTCAAGGTTGCCAGTGCATCCCTGGTTGAGAAGAAGGGAGCAGAGGAGATGGAGCAGGATGCTGCATCTCCATCTGCCATGGAAGAAACAGAAGATGGCAAGACCCCCAAGTCAAACACCACTGTCCCAAATACAAATGCTGCCAGTGATGATTCCCAGAAGAATGGTCCTGTAGGAGAAAATGATGTGAGTCTTTGTGCATTATTGTTTTCATACCTGATTCTGTCCCCCTGCAAAAGATCTAGGAGCTCTGAGCACCCACTTAAAAATTTCACAGGCATCATAAATCAGATACAATAAAACATGCATAATAATGCCAACTCTGACCACATCATTGTTATTTGCACTGCTAAACTTGTCAAAGTTAGTAATCAAGCAATAGAGTATTGCAAATCCACTGAACATAAATTGGTTCTGCAGGTGCCGATGGATGAGAAGAATGATAAACAAGACCAGGAAAAACCCAATCACATGGTTAGTTTCAATGCCACTGTTGTCTCTGATGCATATCCATTAACCCTTCGAGCGCTGAGTTTTGACTCGACCTCCTAAGTGATGAACATGCGGTGTACGTGAAAACTGCTTGAAGGGTTAAGATGCCTGTATTCTCATTCCATTGTATTAGCACTTTCATGGTATGGTTGCCTTTGCATCTTTTATTTTAATTTGGATTCAATCAATGAAATTTGTTGATTGTAACATAGATCTTTAGGCAGTGTTGCATTGCTAAAGCCTTCAACTGATCTTGCCTGTCCATATGTACAAGCCCAGAGTGTTCTACCTATAGTTGGTATTTAGTCACGCTCAAAATCAAGGTTAACCCTTTCATGGCTGAATTAAGAAAACAAATAGCTAGGACATTTTTTCACCTGTGTTTTCTATTGAACAGGCCTAGCTAAGCACAGAGCTTGCAGAAAATGTCAAATGTTTACTCAAATATTAATCAACTGAATTTTTAATTACGTGAATCATTAATCAAAAATATTTAATAGCAGGCCATTGTTCACAAATGGGGAGCCCCTAAAACTTGGCCTTTGTCCCAATTTTATCCATTCATTCTTGCAGCATATTTTTCCAAAAATGGAAAAAAATTCTTACTTTTCGTTCAAAATTCCATTTCACAAAAAATAAAAATATCAGGTCACAACTCTTCTTTTTGATCCAGCTTGCCTGAACCTATTTGAACAAATGATGCATCACCGAAGAGCTCTTTTTGAGAGCTATTGAACGGTACCAAATAAAACAGGTTTTGTTCAATGGTAACTGCTAGAGCAGTCTCAAAAGATATGATCCTTATAATGATCATACGCCATGAAAGGGTTAAGCTTTCTGCTCGGACTGTCACAAGAATGCTGAACACTGTCTTTGAAATTTGATAAAAATGAAGAGAGCAGGGCAAGGTTAAGCTCAACACAGTGGCATAGTAATTGATTCTGAGTTAGTTTGCTTGCATTCTGCCTTATATAAAGGTCTATTTGCTCTATGCTACAGCATGGGCTACATACTGAAGAGTGTCAGTTGGGGTTGTTATCCATGATGTGAAAAATTTAGAGACAAGACTGGCTGGAGGAACAGTGCTTGTTGCTATGAAAGTTTGTATACAGCTGATGTAGTACTGACATCGGGCTCTGCAGGTTAAGATGGCCATGTGCATTGCTTGGGATCATGCTTCAATCTTGTCATAAATGTTGAATCAATCTGTTAGTGATCATTATAATAATTAAATGAATGGTCCACGCAAATCTAAAGCAAAGGTTTAAATAAGTAAAGACTTCAATGCAATACAGAGTTGTGACATCATAGCCTCTTGTGATTTTTTTTCTTTGAAATGTCAATGATTTTTTTTGTCTGCAACAGGATGGGAATGGGGCTGAAGAAGGGGAGACCAAACCCGAGCGGAAAGGGAAGAAAGCGAAACTTGTCTTGAAAACTGTCGACCTCCCCATCACATCCACTGTCTGTCAGTTGTCCAAGGATGTGATCAATGACCTCGTTGAACGAGAGGTGAGATGACACCTGCATGACTTATAGGGCTCATATGTTGAAGAGGTAATTATTCCTGTTGGGCACCCCTGTTGTTACACTGAGGTGCTGATTTGGATTTGACAAACAAAACATACTTCAGGAATGATTATCCTTATAGATAATATCATCTGAATCCAAAACTCCAGGTCTCATCCTGAAGTTCTCATCTCATGTGAATTTTTTGTTGTGAAAGTGTAGCTTTCCCCAACCATGTCTGTAACATTAGTTCAGACATGGTTGGGGAGCTATGTAGGAATAGAGGGAGCTTCCCCTAATCTCCAGGACCCTTTTTAAAAATTTTTTTACATGAAGATGGTGCCCATTTTTGTTTAACAAAGTAGGTCCTGAAGTTGAAGCAGTTAATAATCTGTCTCATCAAATTCATCCATGTCCTTCCATGAGATGTATTCAGATCCAGGGGTATTGTATATTTAGTACATTGTTGACATTGATTTCCTTCCTTGCAGTCAAAAATGGTAATGCATGATCGCCAGGAGAAAGAGAGGATAGATGCTCGCAATGCCGTCGAGGAATATGTGTATGAGATGCGCAACAGGATTTCTGATGACCTTCAGGAATTTATTGCTAGCAATGACCGGTGAGTAACTGTCTCCCTCCTGGCTTCTCGGCTTCTCCTGAGTCACACAAAATGGCTTTGTTCCTAAACCAGTGTTTGTGTATTTTTAGTGAGAAGTTCATGCAGTTCCTGGATGAGACAGAGAACTGGCTGTATGATGAGGGTGAAAACTGTAAGAAATCTGTCTATGTCACCAGACGACAAGACCTCCAGGTAAGGCTTACAATATGTGAAAGTTTTTATGAAATTGTGAAATGTAGTACAAAAACTAAGGCCTGAATGCTGAAACTATCTTTATTACTGGTCCTTTAGGAATACATGAACTTCAATGGAGGGAAAGCATTTTAGCTGAAAGGCTCCTTTGTATCACCTAATGAGGTTTCAGCATTTTGAACTAAACATTTTTTATGCATGTCTTTTGAATGGATATGTTCTATTTATCAGCTTTGAGTGGCATAGTATTGCAATATGTACCCGTGTAAGCATGCAGAGCATTTTTAAATTTCTTTGTGCCCATTTATCTTATCGGTTCCCCCAAGGTTCATTGGACCATCACCTTTTCCTTCCTTTGTTCTGTCCCTTCCATTGCTCACCAGAAAATTCATAGCTTCTCTTGTTTTCATTTAGCTATGAATTGCCTCTTGTAGCATGGAATAATTGTTATGCCATACTGCAGAATTTGATGAGACTACTAGACTTACTTCAAAACCTTCAGAGGAACTTCATTAACCCTCATCTGGGCAAGCTTTTTTACAACCTATTCCGGGCAAGGTGAGTCTGTCAGACTCATGTAAAATAAGGCCGTTTGCTGCGGTTATGGTATGTATTCTTATAAATAACAGTACTGTAACTAAAATAGTACAGACAATTTATTCAATGGTCCTGATAGTTTAAAAACATAATGACAGTAATAGACCGAAATATGTCGTAGTGAGTCCAGCGGACTCACCTTGCCCGGATTAGGGTTAAGTTCCTTGTTTCTCATACTTTTCGACCTAAGTTGCGTACAATCTTTCTTTGGAAAAAGTATTTAAGTTGAATGAAAATTGAAGGAGTAGCCATGGGTAAGAAACTGCAGCTGGAAATGCCTATTTCAACAGAAACATGGGGATCCAGTGGTTGCAAGAAAGAAAGAGTTCGATGAGCGGCCGTTATGCTTCGATCAGCTGGGTGGAGGATTGCAGCAAGTGAGGAAGGCCCTGGATCTCTTTGCCCAGGGTGATGAGAAATATAACCACATAGATGCAGAAGATATGAAGAAAGTGGAAAAGGCATTGCAAGAGAAGGAAGCTTGGCTTGACAAAGCCTTTAACTCTCTCTCCAATCTCCCGAAAGAGAAGAATCCCCCCATTTTGGCCCAGCAGATCCGAGCTGAAAAACAGGTAAAGCTCCTATATCAAGTAGTGCATTGTTAATTTTTTTTTTAAATAGACATGAATTTGAAGTTGAATTGATATCTGGATGCTGTGTTGCTGGTAGGCATTGGACAATGTCGTGATGCCGATCCTCAACAAACCCAAGCCCAAAGTGGAACCACCACCTGCGCCGAAAAGTGAAGGCGGCGAAGCGCCGAGTGCCGAATCGCCTGCGTCGGAAGCACCCGATGGAGCGAGCGCTGCCTCGAGCAAAATGGACGTTGATCAATGAGACCTTCTTTCCCTAGGGCCCCTTAGGATCTATACGAGTGCCGCCGCGCGATCGCTCCATCGTCTCTGCTGGCGATCTGTAAAATTCCCAGTATGTGCTTTCTTTGCCACTTTTTCTCATCTTGCTAAATTATAAGTTTCTTAAATTGTTTCTAATGAGGCTTAATGTATTTCTTTTATTCTAAGAAGGGATGCATGAGCCTAATGTCCTGCATTCTCTATTGATTGCATGATTTTTCTGTCTTATCATTTACTGTACCAGTGAAAAGTGCTGTAAAAACTTGGGAAACTCATGCCAATAAACATGGAGCAATGAAACGTTATGCCCTTTCAATTTCCATGTGGTTAAATCACCATCCATCTGTGGAGACATTCATCTGCAGAACTGTGAGGGACAAGGACTGGGGTGGAATGATTTTGTGCGTGTCTGCTTTACCACCTTCTTACTGAATAATAGCAAAAATTTGCCTTGGCCTCAGCGCGCACATGGCGACGCTGCCGGGTTTGACTCTTGGGCTGAGTACGGTTCTTCAAGGATGGAATTATGATCCCTTTTCTTTTCCGGGAGGAGGACCTCAAGTTTTTTATTATATGAAAATAAGTATTGTACTCTGGAACTTCCTATCTGGCCTGGATGAAAAAAGGTCTGTTGATTTTCGATAAACCGTTTTCGACGTGCTAAAACAGCGTCAATTGGAAAATGACCTTAAGGAACAGGGAGCCTGTAGTCTCGTTCGTCATGAAATTTCTCCTTGGCACCACAGCTAGAATTGGGAAAACTCGTGCCTCTGAACACAATACATTTCCAAGACAAGAAGTGGAGTTCCCGACCCGCGTTGCATCATGCATGAAAGACTTCCGACGATATTACGACCGCGACCTTTTCCTGTTCGCTATCTTCAGAGTCGTTTTCCTCCAGGTACGTCAGGGTGTCCTCAAAAAGGGGTTTTGTGGTTTTGTTGAGGTTCAGTGTTCATGGGTCTCCGTACCACCCGTTGAACTCAACATCCATGTAATTCTGAATTTGCTATTGGTCCCCTAACTCTTCTCTCGGGGATGAATCAGCTTATTTTGCACTCTTGCGTAGGATCGGCGAGATTTCGAAGCAGGTATTGCTCTTCGGAGACTTAAACGCGCCACCGAAGACGAGAATCATGAAGTCAGTAAGAATAAGAAAATTTATTGAAGCCCATCTCTTTCTAAAATATTTATACTACATCTGCTTCCCCAGAGGCGGATCGTATCATTGCACGGAACATTGCACGGACACGTATCATTGCACGGAAAGAGTGTCGTTGTCGAGCCAATTGGTCCACATTCCATGCCATAAGGAAGGATCGGCATTCGGGTCCTCCGAAACGTTGAAGTTGAGCGGCGGTACCATGGATTCCTCATACGCGAGCAACCGACTCTCCAGGAAGCCGAGGAGATCCGGGGGCCAGAAACGTCCATTTCTCTCGCTCTCAGCCTTGGGGCCGATTTCCACCAGATTCATCTGCTCGCACGGATCGACGCCGAGGTCGAAGACGCAGGGGGCGAGAGATGGGTCACAGGCCGTCGCGTTCGTTTCGTCTCGAAGACAGATGACAGCGGCCTCTTCCCGCAGCATTTCCTGCTTCTCTTCCGAGGGGAGATAGCCGAGGTCGCCCAACGTAGCACCCGCGAAATCGTTTTCTTCCAAGTACTCCAGAGTTTCATCGTAGAGGGGTTGCGTGGTTTCGTTGAGGTTCAGGGTTCCTGGGTCTCCGTACCAGCCGTTGATCTCCTCGCCACGGAACTCCTGAGGCCCTGCAACGAGTGAACAGTCGGAGAGATCATCGATGGATTTATAGACGGTAACCCGACGAAGCAGTGGCTCCTCCTCCAACGTACGCGAGAAAAGGTTTTACGGGAATAAGTCAGGGAAAGAAAAAAGCGAAAGGAAGAAAGAAACGAATCAACATTTGGTTTCTTATACCGATGGGATGAACGAGATCCCGCACCCCTCATCCTTTACTCTAAGGAAAGCCCAGTGACATCCACCCGACCGGGAATTCGCTGCAGTGAGGAAGTTCCGTTCGTGGCGGAGGAGGTGCTAGCAGGTGACTGGGTCCCTCCCATCTCGTACGGCGAAGTGAATCGCATTCACTTTTATGCCATTATACACTGACGGTCAAGAAAATTGCTTGTTCAGAAATGATTCATCCAGCATTTGCAGATGTTTGACCGTGATACAGGATCGATTATCGATGAGAGTACTCATAAAAAGATGGCACCACCAGCAAGGTAAAGTTAGCTTTGCCCTCAGTTCGTGCGACTACTCAAATAGATATCATAACCCTTTTTTAGCAGCAATGAAGCCTTAAAACTATGTGGTTCGTCATGATAGAGCAGTAATGCTTCCATAAATGATTGATGATCGATCCTATATTACTTTGTAGCGTTTAGTAATGTTAGGAGGAGTCCTTTCTGTCACTGCTATTTCAATGGCGGCCAGAGCATTTGTTTCGGAAAAACCTGACAGAGATACTGCCCAAGCAGCATGTTTACGTAAACATGATATCAATTCTTTGCAAACAATGTAAATTTCTTGCGATTGCCATGAAAATGACATCACGTTAATGTAAAATTTACGTTCCAATATTTACGTCACCAAAGTGTCCGTGTAACGGGCACTTACAGTTTACGTAAACTAGACGTCACTCCATCTGACGTGAAGTACATCATATCGAATTTATGCAAAGTTAACATCACACTTTCCATATGAAACTTTATATGACCATCCCGCTGTTGCAATACCAAGATTCCTCACTAGATGGAACTCTTGTTCCTTGCACCCTACAAATGCTATTAGGTACTGGCTTTCCCGATATAGTATCAGGTTTTCTTACCATCCTTTCACTTTTTTATTTGCAATCCATGAATATATATATGGAAAGCAGCAAATTATTACATATTTTTTAAAATAATATATGATTCAGGGAATCATTAAATGCTGAAGTTAAACTTGTTATTACAGCAGTGCATGGGATTAGGGAAGAGTAGAATCCCAGCTCCACATGTACTATAGCTTCTCGATCCTTAATGGAAGAGAACTCCTCTAAACATCTATTTCTCCTCCCGAGGTCCTGGTACGGGAGGAGGAACTAGTGAGTCATCTTGGTACTCTTGAGTGCTGGTGTGGATGAGTACTCGTGTACTTGTCCAAGTAACCTTGAGATCGAAAGTATGGAAAGGAAAGGGAGAAATACAGTGTATCAATTCTCTTCAAAAGTACGAATTAGCTCGTTAAATACGCATGAATGTTTGGGGGAAATCAACTTCAATTTTAGGTAAAACGAATATAAACATGCTGTTGGGGATGTAAACGGGAATGTCAATTTTATGTAAAATTTACGTAAATTTTATATCACCGTTTACGTATTGCAGAGGTGACATTTCTGCAAACATGTTGACATTATCTTGATGATGATTTGCGTAAAATAGATATAAAATGGACAAAATATTTCCATTCAGTTTACGTAAAATTAACATAAACATGCTACTTGGGTGTGTCTTACCTATGGCAAGGCTTCGTTCACGATTTCACAGTCATCACCATTCTTTTGGCAGTCACGGAAAGTATAGCAACTAAGAGCATTTTAAAAGGAGCCCTATTGACAATAGACACTGTCTGACCTCTAATGATCTTATACCTTCCGGCCCTGAGTGCCTTAGAGTCAGTGGTGGGATCGATGTTGAGCAACACCTCTTCTCTCAGAGACGGTTCGTCCCTCGACAAACTGGGCCACATGTTCAACCCGTCCAATTGCGGCGGCAAGTCACTTACATTCCCTCCTGTGGGAGAACGAATTGCAATGAAATTTCTAAAATGAGACAGAGTATGAAGAGGTGGTAGATGCCTACCTGCCAGGTGGTAGATGGTTGGAAGCCAGTCGGAGATGTGCATGAGTCCGTGGAACACTCGTTGAGGTTTTTCGATTAGGGGACTCCAGATTGCACTAACAGCTCGAATTCCTCCTTCGTACAGCGTTGCTTTCATCTATTATGAAATTAAAAGCGTTGCCGGTATTGCTATCACGAAAACGGCTCTTGAAAGAGGATCGCCTTTTAAAGAAGCTGAACGGGATCGTCTACTACTGAAGCTTCGAACCGTCACAAATGGGATAGGGGAAGTAACAGGGGTATGAAAACGTGGAGGAAATGACGTATGCCAGGGGACAGCAATTTATTGCAGCGGGGATGATCTGTAGGCCGTGGGAAGTAGGCACATTTGTTTTAAACGGCTCTAAGCACCGATTCAAAAAGTTCGCCATTCCGGATTAATATCAATCTCAATTCCCTCTTAAAGAAGAAAAGGTAAGTTTTAGAGAAATTAGCCTATGGACAAGCAGCAAGCGGAAGCGTTCGTCCAAGGCTGAGTACATTCGGACGCACAGAAGAGAGTTCAACCTCCGAACAATTGAAAAGAGGAAGAGAGAAAAGGCAGGGGACCCCTCTGAGCGGGAAGTTGTTTCCCCGGCTCCCATCTATGTCTCCGATCCCTCCGTTGTCGGAGGTGAAGACGAGGACGGAATTCTCCAGCATCTCGTTCTCCTGCAACGCCGACACGATCCGCCCCACGGACTGGTCCAGAAGGGTCAGCATCCCTAAAATTCCACCAGAAATAAGTATTGCGTGTGGTGACGGAATTTGATATCAGTCCATCAGGAACTCGGATAGTTATATTTTGTCTGCCACATGTTTTGTTCCACGACAAAGTGCATAAATGTAAGTTCTGCAATTAAGACGCTTTCCTCTAGAAGTCCTTATTTCACGTCCACCTTACGTGAATGTTTACGTTCATAAACCTGCTTTCTCGCAGGACGACACTGCATCCGATCGGACCTTCTCCTGTGGTGGGTGGCGAAGGTGATCTAAAGCGAAATTGCGATACTGGTGTTTGGTAGGCATTATGGTGCTTNCAGTTTACGTAAAATTAACATAAACATGCTACTTGGGTGTGTCTTACCTATGGCAAGGCTTCGTTCACGATTTCACAGTCATCACCATTCTTTTGGCAGTCGCAAGACGGAAAGTATAGCAACTAAGAGCATTTTAAAAGGAGCCCTATTGACAATAGACAATGTCTGACCTCTAATGATCTTATACCTTCCGGCCCTGAGTGCCTTAGAGTCAGTGGTGGGATCGATGTTGAGCAACACCTCTTCTCTCAGAGACGGTTCGTCCCTCGACAAACTGGGCCACATGTTCAACCCGTCCAATTGCGGCGGCAAGTCACTTACATTCCCTCCTGTGGGAGAGCGAATTGCAATGGAATCTCTAAAATGAGACAGAGAATGAAGAGGTGGTAGATGCCTACCTGCCAGGTGGTAGATGGTTGGAAGCCAGTCGGAGATGTGCATGAGTCCGTGGAACACTCGTTGAGGTTTTTCGATTAGGGGACTCCAGATTGCACTAACAGCTCGAATTCCTCCTTCGTACAGCGTTGCTTTCATCTATTATGAAATTAAAAGCGTTGCCGGTATTGGTATCACGAACACGGCTCTTGAAAGAGCATCGCCTACTAAAGAAGTTGAACGGGATCATCTAGTACTGAAGCTCGTCGAAGAGAACCGTCACAGATGGGATAGGGGAAATAACGGGGGTATGAAAACGCGGAGGAAAAGACGTATGCCAGGGGACAGCAATTTATTGCCGCGGGGATGATCTGTAGGGGAAGTAGGCACATTGGTTTAAAAGGCTCTAAGCACCGATTCAAAAAGTTCGCCATTCCGGATAGATATCAATCCCAATTCCCTCTTAAAGAAGAAAAGGCAAGTTTTAGAGAAATTAGCCTATTGACAAGCAGCAAGCGGAAGCGTTCGTCCAAGGCTGAAGACATTCGGACGCGCAGAAGAGAGTTCAACCTCCGAACAATTGAAAAGAGGAAGAGAGAAAAGGCAGGGGACCCCTCTGAGCGGGAAGTTGTTTCCCCGGCTCCCATCTATGTCTCCAATCCCTCCGTTGTCGGAGGTGAAGACGAGGACGGAGTTCTCCAGCATCTCGTTCTCCTGCAACGCCGACACGATCCGCCCCACGGACTGGTCCAGAAGGGTCAGCATCCCTAAAATTCCACCAGAAATAAGTCTTGCGTGTGGTGACGGAATTTGATATCAGTGCAGTCCATCAGGAACTCGGATAGTTATATTTTGTCCGCCACATGTTTTGTTCCACGACAAAGTGCATAAATGTAAGTTCTGCAATTAAGACGCTTTCCTCTAGAAGTCCTTATTTCACGTCCACCTTACGTGAATGAATGCAAGTATTTGGACGAAAGAGCGTCCTGCTGTGACGTAGGCTAGCCTGGAAGAGGACACCACCCACCGCTTCCACTAGATTTCGCTTTAACGCTATGACCACAAACCATCCGTAATACCACGAATCTTCCTGTCCATTTATTCGGGTATGCTCGTCAATAGGCTTCAATAGAAAATCAAGTTCATTCTCACTAGCATTTCTTCACTACATGTCCGTGAATGGTCTGAAACCGAGTGACTGGACGCATCTACGCAGCGAACCCCAGGACCTACATGCTTTTTGCTCGGTGTTACAGAAGGCCCCGAACGTTCCCAAGGGGTGCACAAGGAGGCTGCACCCCACGGTTTACTCGGTTTTAGAGGAATAATGGCCTTGTTTCACCTCGGTGACCTCGGATGATCTCGACCGCTCTGTCGGTGAAAAGGGTCGTGGAATATTTCCCTGCCGTTTCATTAGCGGCTGGTTTCAGGTCTTCCCTCATGTCCCATCCCGTCATCGTCATATTCTGCAAGAACGCGCAGTAATTCTGGATATTATTGGTCGAACTCGAAAGGCATATTCATCCATGACTGCAATATGGTTTCCTGCCTCCTTGGTTATTATTATTATTATTATTACAAATATAAGTATAAGCGGACTGTAAGCGACGCAGCAAGACAAGGAAAATGTATATTCTAGTGTTAGGGGCGATGGGCTGCACCGTGTGTGGGACGGGAAAGGGTGATACTTCACGGTCATGTAAACGGACTCAGCTGGTAATTCAGGAGTTTTATCCTTCTTGTAAAAAGAAAATCTTGAAAAAGCGAGTGTGATTTTGCTTTGAGGCATCTCACTTGCCCTGCATCCTTTCATATAAAAAAAAGCATATGACGAACCAAAGTGCTGCAATTCTGTTCCAGCCGATGGTCGAAGTAGTCCTGGTGCGACCCCCAGTACCCGAAATGGGAGGCGAACCCCCTCCGGGTGGGAGCGAAGGCGCGCCGGCAGAATCCCAGATGCCACTTCCCCACCGCGTGGCTCGCGTAGCCCAGCGCGTTCAGGAACTCAGGCAGGATCCGCTCGTGGGGGTCCAGGCCCCAGCAGCGCGGGTTGGTGATCACGTAGCTCTGCATGCCTTGGGAGGATTTTTTAAATGGAAATCTTCATTGGAAATGTATCAACGACCTTGTTAACTTGTGGAATTGTAATAGGTACTCTTAATAAGGGTGCTTAAATCGTCGTGTTGGACAATACGCATGCTCGATATGATGTAATAAAAGTCCCGCGCACTCAGAGTGGGGGTGTAGAGAGTAGCAGCAGCCCAGGACGAGGGTCGAGATTGTGTCGCATCGCGAGTATAGTTGAGGACTGTCGCAAAGACGCGGGACATGTGTTGAACCCCCTGATCGGGTTGGGTTTCAGTGCTGGATGTCTTTACATCGCACACTAACACCCATTCAGGTATTGATCCTTTTGTATTCCTTGCCCATCAATCATCTGATGCAATAGATACCAACACGGTTCCAGATATCCCTATTCTGATCCCTACTGCTATTGATCTCACCCAATTCTGGTTATCTCAATAAATGCACTGTATCACAAACGAGGAGTCAACGGAGTCATTATAACCTCGGACACGCTGGTGGTCCGTTCGTGAGTCATTAATGTTAATTCACGTCGGAGCCGCCTACAGAATCCTTCGGTTTCAGAAACACGGTGTAATTTTTTATGTGTGTGATTTGTGATGACAGCCTTCGTCCGTGCCCAGGAAAGAAGGAGCATTTCGAAGAAATTAATTTATTTGCTAGAAATTTACCGTGATGTATACCTGAAAAGGATCGAAGATACTTCGTTACCCCGAACAAAATCTGGTAAAAAAAAAAAAAAACATTTTTTACCGTTCGTTTATGACTTCAGGTGAGAAAAGTGAACTCACTTTCGTGTATTACTGTGCGACAAAATGTATTCAAGTTATTGATAGTTCAAGTATATGCGACTTGGACCAAACTGAACCGACGATGGGAAATAACGATACCATTGTGAATGGGGTATCGGGCCGTGAGGAGGGCAGCCCTCGACGGCGTGCACAGGGATTGGACGTAGTAGTTGTGGAGGATGACCCCGCTGTACGCCAGTGAGTCTATGTTTGGCGTGGGGATCTCCGACGATCCGTGGAATCCGACGTCCCTCCATCCCTAATCCTCAAGAAAAATATCAAACTTAAAAGATGAGTTTTAAATTCTATTTGAAGGTTTGCAACATACAACAAATTCCTAGAGGAGTTACAGGCCTTGGACTTCTGGGAAAACTCTAGGAAGTTGTTTCCGCACATACAGTAGGAATAGGAAGCATTCACCAAGTCATCCGCGACGATGAGGATGATATGCGGTTGGACCTGGGCGGAAGTGACGAGAGACGCGAGCACGAGGAAGACCACACACGCGAAAAGCATGCTGCAGGGAGGTGCCACGAACGCGACTGGAAGAGCCAGCAGCCGTGGCTGCGGCTTGTTATCTGGAAGGGTCTGCTGGGGCATCCCCTCGGTAAAGGAGGATGCATCCCAGAGATGCTAGTTTTTCAGCTGAGTGTGCTTTCCCGCACACACAGCTAATCGAAAAAGTGGAACCTACATCTCCGAGTTAAAGTTATCGCAGGCACTCGAAATTCTATCGGAAAGTGGCGACCTTGGGGGGAATGAGAATGGCCGCATCAATCCAGGCCCTACGCATCCCCTACACGTGACTGAGTGGTTATCTCTCAAGCCGTCATTTTTTTAATTGGTTGCATTTCTCACTCGTTTATCTCCTGCGCTTTCGCCCCCTTCCCGCATGGACTCCCTCGTCGTGTCCTCCCTCCCTCGTGCAGGCATCCTGGACTACGGTAAACATCTTCACAAGATATACGTGTGCACGATAAAGACCTTGTTTTCCGAGTGCTTGTGAATACTCACTTAGGTCGAACTCGGTACAATTTCCGGGATTGCATTTCGCTGCCGAGATTCTTTGTTACTTCTGGAAAACACTACTCACAATCTTGGAAGGTCTATTAGCAATTTAACGGTCCGGGTCAATCGTAGGATTTAGGCAAATGTCGAGTAAGCAGGAAAAGTGCTACAACGATGTTTTATTGATTTACCTTCACCCCTTTAAGAGCGCCACATGTCATGCAACTTGAATGAAAGTATCCAATTTTTAGTTCATTCATAGTCACTCAAAAACCCAGAGGAGACGCGCGCGTGCCGGAATGAAGTTATTATAACAAGCACAGCCATGTGGAACAAGCATGGACCAAAGAGCCATGAGAGATTAGGCTTGCTAAAGCGTGTCTCTCGCACCCTGCACTCGCCTCTTGCATGCAGGAGAGGCTGGTGTCGAAATAAAAGAGGGTTTGTATGTATGCGAACGGGACTGGTGCAATGCAACAGGGGTCAAGAAGCACACCGCTTCGTCATTTCATTGAAGTGAGAAGAGAGAAGAAATTTTAATTAAGCGCATCTCTTCCTAAAATGTTTAAGTGCATCTACTCTCACAGAGGAGGATCATAAGTAAACGACACTATTTAATTTATGGAATGTCGTTGTCGAGCCAATAGGTCCACATTCCATGCCATAGGGAAGGATCGGCATTCGGGTCCTCTGAAACGTTGAGGATGAGAGGCGGTACCTTGGATTCCTCATAGGAGAGCAACCGACTTTCCAGGAAGCCGAGGAGATCCGGGGGCCAGAAATGTCCATTTCTCTCACTCTCAGCTTTGGGGCACAATTCCACCAGATTCATCTGCTCGCACGGATCGACGCTGAGGTCGAAGACGCAGGGGACCTGAGAAGGGTCGCAGGCCGTCGGGTTCGTTTCATCTCGAAGACAGGTGACAGCGGCTTCTTTCCGCAACATTTCCTGCTTCTCTTCCGAGGGCAGATAGCCGAGGTCGCCCAACGTAGCACCCGTGAAATCGTTCTCTTTCAAGTACTCCAGGGTGCCTTCGTAGAGTGGTTGCGTGGTTTCGTTGAGGTTCAGGGCTCCTGGGTCTCCGTACCAGCCGTACAGCTCCACGTCACGGACCACCCGAGGCCCTGCAACGAGTGAACGGTTGGAGAGCTCATCGGTAGTTATTGACAACTGTCCGACGAACCATTAGGCCCTCTTTCAACATTCGTGAGAAAGAGTTCGAGCTGGAATTGGACAGCGAAAAAAAGAATCAACATTTGGGGTTACTTATACCACTGGCATAGACCAGACCGCGCATGCCTCATCCTCTATTTAATGGAAAGCCCCGTGACATCCACCCAACTGGGAATTCCCTGCAGTGAGGAAGGTCCGTTCGTAGTAGAGGAGGTGCTGGCAGGTGACTGGGTTCCTCCATCTCGTACGGCGAAGTGGGTCACATTCACTTTTACGCCGTTATACACATGCTGTCAATAACATCGCTAGTTCAGAAAGGTTTCATCATAGCATTAGCGAATGATGCAAATTGATATAGGATTGCTCATCGATGATTGTATTCATAGAAAGATGGCATCACCAGGTAGGGTAAAGATAAAGTTTTAGCTCTGTCCGAGCAACTATTAATACTTATAAAGGTAATATAGCCCATTTCAGCAGCAATGGCTATGTGGTACGTCATGATAGAGAAGTAATGTGTTGGTAGTTCAGGCACCGCTTCCAGATGGCACTATATTTCATGAGTGATTGATGAACATTGCAGTGAAGGGTTTAGTAACGTTAAGACGGATCCTTCCTGTTGTTGCTATTTCAATGGTGGCCAGTGCATTTGCCCCCGACGAAACCTGACAGAGTCTATGTTTTACTTATGGCAGGTCTACGAGAACTTTCAATAAATCTTCAGGAGCAAGACAAAAAATATACCAACTGCGAACTTTTTATAAGGAGCCCCAATGAGGAAGGATGGACGAAGTCTGACCTGTGATGATCTTATATTTTCCGGCCCTGAGTGCCTTGGAGCCAGTGATGGGATCGATGTTGAGCAACACCTCTCCCCTCAACGACGGTTCGCCCCTCGACAAACTGGGCCACATGTTCAACCCGTCCAGTTGCGGCGGCAAGTCACTTACATTCCCTCCTGTGGAAGAGCGAATTGCAATGGAATTTTTGAGATTGAGGCAGAGTATGGAGAGGTTATTACCAGCTAGATGGTAGATGGTTGGAAGCCAGTCGGAGATGTGCATGAGTCCCTGGAACACTCGTTGAGGTTTTTCGATCAGAGGACTCCAGATTGTACCGACAGCTCGAACTCCACCTTCGAACAACGTACCTTTCATCTATTATGAAATTGAAAGCGTTGTCAGTATTGGTATTACGAAAATGGCTCTTAAAGAAACATATATTGGCATGGGAATCGTCCGTAGTCCGAAGGAATGAGGCACCCTGTGTCACTCCACTTTAAGCCCATTCTCCAGAAGTTCCCCTTCTCTGATTAATTTCAACCGCATTTTCCTTTTCAAGGAGAAAGGGCTCCTTGGAGATAGATAAGTTATAGCCTACTCAGCAAGCGGAAGTGTTCGTCTGAGGCTGAGGACATTCAGTAGTATGGGATACATGGGATACGCAGAACAACAGAGGACAACCGATAACTATTTTGGAAGGATTATTGAGCGAGGAAAGAAAAGGCAGGGGACCCCTCTGAGCGGGAAGTTGTTTCCCCGGCTCCCCTCCACGTCCCCAACCCCTCCGTTGTCGGAGGTGAAGACGAGGACGGAGTTCTCCAGCATCTCGCTCTCCTGCAACGCCGACACGATCCGCCCCACGGACTGGTCCAGAAGGGTCAGCATCCCTGGCATTCCAGCAGAAATGAGTTTTGCACGTGGCGACGGATTTTGCGATCTGCGGATTTCATCAGGAACTCGAAAAGATATATTTTGTCTAGCACATATTTTGTCCGGCGACATATCGCAAGTAATCGATGTTCTTGAAATGAGGACACTTTCCTCCAGAAGTCGTTGTTTCAAGTCCATCTGACGTGAATGCTACGCAGAGAAACCACCTTTCTCGGCATTCTTCAAATTTCGCACATCATTCGGATAGTCTATTATTACAGTAAGAGGAGGGAACTTTCTCTCCCAAAGGAAGCCATCCAAGCTAGACACTGCAGACGATCGGACCTTCTCTGGTGGCGGGTGGAGAAGGCGATTTAAAGCGAAATCGCGATATTGACGTTTGGTATGCAAAATTGTACTGTTTTCCTATAAATTTATTCGGCAAAGCCCGTCAATAGGATTTCGAAAATCAAGTTCTTTCTCACTAGTTTTTCTTCACTACGTGTCCGTGAATGGTCTGAAGGGCTCACTGACCTGCGTAGATGCGTCGCTTGGGGTCCTGGATGTACGAAAAACGAGCCACAATGTCTTCCGGGGCTTGCAAGGGTTCCCCACTTGTTCCCCCGACGTGGGGTGCCAAATGAGCCAAATAGAGGAATAATGGCCTTCTTTCGCCTCGGTGACCCTGGATGATCTCGACCGCCCTGTCGGTGAAAAGGGTCGTGGAATATTTCCCTGCCGTTTCATTAGCGACTGGTTTCAGGTCTTCCCTCATGTCCCACCCAGTCATCGTCATATACTGCAAAAGTGCCCAGTAATTATTGTTATTATGGGTCGAACTCGAGAATCACATTTGTCCACGACAGGGTTCCTGCCTCTTTTTTTTTCCATTATATTTATAAAAGAAGTGTAGGCGATGCAGCATTACAAGGAAAAAGTACATTCTCGTCTCAAGGTGAACGGGCTACACCGGTTGTGGAACGGGTGAGGATCATACTCGACAATAATGTAAGCTGACTCAATCCTGGGAATGTGGAAATCTCCTTCTTTCTCCTCATGAAAATAAAGTATTGAAAACGTGAAGGCGTCATTCTGCTTTGAGGCATCTCACTTTCCCGGGATTTTTTCATATTAAAAAATCTATGACGAACCAAAGTGCTGCATTCCTCTTCCATCTGATGGCTGAAGTAGTCCTGATGCGACCCCCAGTACCCGAAATGGGAGGCGAACCCCCTCCGGGTGGGAGCGAAGGCGCGCCGGCAGAATCCCAGATGCCACTTCCCCACCGCGTGGCTCGCGTAGCCCAGCGCGTTCAGGTATTCAGGCAGGATCCGCTCGAGGGGGTCCAGGCCCCAGCAGCGCGGGTTGGTGATCACGTAGCTCTGCATGCCTTGGGAGGATTTTTTTAAATGGAAAATTTCATTGGAAACGTATCAACGGCCTTGTTAACTTGTGGAATCTCTCAGTTTCAGGAACACGGTGTAATTTTTTATGCGTGTGATTTGTGATTTCTTCGTCCATGCTCAGGAAAGAAGGAGCATTTTGAAGAAATTAATTTATTTGCTAGAAATTTACTGTAATATATACCTGAAAATGATCGAAGATACTTCGTTACCCTGAACAAAATCTGGCTAAAAAAAAACACATTTTTTTTTTCTGAAAAGTTCAGAACGAAAGTTCAGAAAAGTGAACTCACTTTTGTGTATTACTGTGCGAGAAAATGTATTCAAGGTATTGATAGTTCAAGTTCAAGTACTTGGACGAAACTGAATCGACGATTTGAAATAACGATACCGTTGTGATACCGTTATCGGGCCGTGAGGAGGGCAGCCCTCGACGGCGTGCAGTGGTTGGACGTAGTAGTTGTGGAGGATGACCCCGCTGTACGCCAGTGAGTCTATGTTCGGCGTGGGGATCGAAGACGATCCGTGGAATCCGACGTCCCTCCATCCCTAACCCTCAAGGAAACGGGTAAACATGAAAGACGAAGTTCAGATTCTGTTCGAAGGCTTGCGGCATGCACTAGCTAGTTACACGCCTTGGCATTAACTCTAAGACGCTCTTTCCCCACATCCGATAGGAATAGGAGGCATTCACCAAGTCATCCGCGACGATGACCACGGCATGCGGTTGGACCCGAGCGGAATCGACGAGAGATGCGATCGCGAGGAAGACCACACACACGTAGAGCATGCTGCAATCAGGAGGCATGAACGCAAGACGAGTCGAATTTATCAGATCGGCTCGAGTTGCTCGCGTGCCTAGAGGCCCAGGACAGGTTTCACTTAAGGCACGTGAATGTGCACGTTGCGACATCACCGAACGGATACGATTTAGTTCGCTTCGATGGGGTGCGGGCCTCTTGTGTGCGTGTTTGTGGGGGAGAGGGAGGGGGGGGGGGGGTGGTACAGCTCTTTTTATGATCAAACTGTTGGCGATTGTATTTAGTATGGGTAAACTGGAGAAAAACCAGGCCTGCATGGAACTCATATCGTAGAGCCTTGTATCCCTTTGTGTGAATGCATTGCACGTTAGCCTATACGTCTCGTGTACAGTTGCCTCTCTCGTTCCACGAAAAGGCGTGGAAACGGCTTTAGGAGAGTCGAATTACGTTGTGAAAATCGGGACTATCTGGAAAGGAAAGAAACGCTTAGGGCAAGTAGCAACAGGAGCAGGATAGGTGATTTTGAGTCCTGCAGAATTGCGACAATATTTCACTATATTTTTCAGCTTTGTCCTTTTCCTTTCTCCCCGTTTCGGCTTCGTGCTCGTCATTCAGTCTTTTTTTTTTTTTTTTACATGAAAGAAAGTCCTGAAGCGGACAAAGAGCCTTGATGCCTCGTGCGGAACCTCTGAACGCTTTCAGATGGGAAACCAAGTCCGAAATGAAATGACCCCCATTTCTGAACCTCTCCCCATGCCAGGCTCGAAAATCCCTCTCCGGTTTCCTTACACTTCGCAACCGAGAACTGCCCGACTTAATCAGGCTTAATCAGGCTTAATCAGCTTAATCAGGCCACCTCTATCAATCCTTCCGCTTCACCTCAGGTACTCGACTCTGGACAGGTACTCTTCCATCAGAAAGCAATGAAACATTTTCCAGTGCTGATTTGCACTTTATCTTGATCAAGGTTTAGTAAGGCGAAGTGGAACAGCCGAATTTTTTAAAAGCTTGTTCTTACGACCTCATTCGTAAACCAAACTCCTTTTTCTATTCTATTCCATTCGGCCTAAAGCCGATAACCAATTCTCCCTGGTTATATATTTCCTTGGCGCTATATTGAAGGTGGTGGGAGGATCGTGATGACGCGAATTTCTCCAGGTGTTTCTACGGTTGGTAGGGTTGTCCGCTGCTTTTGCCCATTTCTATTGTGTTTTCAGAAGATGCAGCTGGTAGAGTGAAAGAGAACAGTCGAGAAGAATGTCAATGCGACGAAGGCCAAAAGGCACGAAGAAGGAAAAAGAACGACCTAACGGAAACGAGCCCCTGCAATACACCCACGGTTCCGCAGCGCAGTCAGGGAGAGCGAGAGCCAGACGAAGCTGCCGCGGCGAGGGCTCTAAGAAGAATGAGTGGAGCGGCTGCAGCCACGGCCTTTTATACACTTCCAGGCACGCGGAAAAGGCCTTCACGCAGCTACCCGCTCTGGAGGCCCTTGCCACGAACGAGACTGGAAGAGCCAGCAGCCTTGGAGATTGCTTCTGCGGCTGGCGAATGGATGTAGTTTGTGCCACGTTTGAATGCTCTGATTGGACAGTCGTTCGCAATATGTTGGATGGTTTGGCTCTGTGCGCCACGATCACATTTCGGATTTTCGTTTCTTCTCCACTTATTCTGCACTTATTCTCCACTTCTAATTGTCTGCAGCGTCCGTGGAGGGTTCTGATGCGGTCCGTGGTGGACCGTGGTTTTCTTGGCAGGAAGAAGGCAGGTGGTCCAGGTGGTTTTCTTGGCAGGAAGAAGCCAGGTGGTCCAGGTGGTTTTCTTGGCAGGAAGAAGCCAGGTGGTCCAGGTGGTCTTGTCGGGTCGGTGATGAGGTAGGTAGGTTCGTGCCATCACGATCACTTCGTCGGCGTTCTTCAGTCGATGTGTTTGCCTCGTGGAGTCTATTTGCCTCGTTCCAGAAAGGTTTCCTGGATTGCAAACGGTCGGCCGGCGGATTTGCTAGGTCTCGGTCGATTGGACCGGTTTGGGTTGTTGAGGGCCTCGTGGTACTCTGACACGAGCCGCATCTCAGCGGAGATGGGCTGGAGCTATGTCGGCAAACACTGGTAGCCATGACATTGGAGTTGATTCGAGTGAGCCCGTAATTATCCACATAGCAGCGTTTAGCCGCGTTTCGACTAGTTTCCCGTGCACGCTTCGGGCCCCACACTAGGGCACTGTATTCAGTGGTGGAGAAAACTAGAGCCAATGGGGAGCATCGACTCCCCAAGTTGCGCCAGTCAGTTAATGGTTCACGCGGTACTTGGTCTTTCCAGATGTGTACTTGAGATGTTTGTGGAACGTCAGGCTGCGGTCTAACGTGATACCCGGGTATTTTGGGGATGGATCACATTTTTTCCTGAAAAAAAACGGCTTACTTACTTAGTGTAAGTATTTCGACTATTTTACCGGGGTTAGGAAAGAGGCGCCAGGATTTTAAGTATCGTCCGCGCTCCTGCGAGTCCTTCGTCAGCGTGTCTTCGCTCTTGGTGGGATGCAAGGATCGAACTGGACGTTCGAGGTCATCAGCCTTCCCCGACCTCGCGTGATTCGGTGGTCGGGTCGGTAATATCGATATTGAAAGGGGCTGGCGCAAGGAGCCTTGGGGTAGGCCGTTGTTACGAATTACGGTGTTCCCCAGATGGACGCAGAACCTCCGGTCGGTTTACAACATCCTCACGATGAGGAGCTCGTTTACCGAATGCTTATGAATGTATACTCGCCCGCTTGAGCGATGCTAGAGGCTCTAACGTAAAACGACAGTTCTAAGAAGCAATAAAGAGCCTTTGGGAAGTTTATTAGAACCTTGCGGAAACTTTCCTTTGTAAACTTGCATCCCGGTCCGCGGGTTGGGGTTCGCCACGGGAAAGAGCCGGTGCTGATTGCGATTGCCCTTAAACACGAGCACATTCATCGCTATCGGACGAGCAAAAACCCTGAAATAGCTTCTTGGCTTTTACCTTGGGCGAATTCCATGCATGCTTCCCAGGGCCTGTTAGTTCCATGTTCCAAGCCGTAGATCATCTTTGTGTCAGAGTAGAGTCGTTGGCAAAAGTTATTGAAATTCCAAAGCAGGGATCCCGATTCCTCGCCCGACTGCAGTGGTGGACCTTTCGCTCTGGCGCCAACTCGCCTCATCGCATCGCCGTGGATTGAATCGGGCGGGAGGGCGACGTCACCTTCTTCGGGATGGCGTGGTTCAGTGCTTCGTGGTACTTACCCTCTGGTTTTTCTTTTTCTAGACCTCGTGTGTCTCGAACGTTTTTGTACGGATGTATAGTGCTCTTAAAAGAAAACCCTTCCCCTTCGCCCTTTCACCAAAGTGAGGGGTGGGGAATGGGAAATTTATTCAGGCACAACGTTTTTAAAACATAATTCAGTATATCTGCTTCCACCGACTTGGAAAGTAAGTGACGCCACTTTAATTCGAGGAGAAGGCATCGTCGTCCAGCCAATCGGTCCACATTCCATGCCATAGGGAAGGATCGGCATTTGGGTCCTCTGAAACGTTGCGGTTGAGAGGCGGTACCATGGTTTCCTCGAAGGCGAGCAATCGACTTTCTAGGAAACTCAGAATGTCCGGGGGCCAGAAACTTCTAAGGGTGAGTGTTCACAGTCTGAAACTCGAATAAAAGTGATCTAAGGAGACAAGTGTGCCTAGTTGTGACTCCAGCTTCTGCGTCCCCCGGACTCTTCCCAGCGTCCGACAGTGCAAGCAAAGGAGATGAAGACAGGTGACAGCGGCTTCTTTCCGCAGAAATTCCTTTTTTTCTTTCGAGGGCAAATACCCAAGGTCACCCAAGGTGGCACCCGCGAAATCGTTCTCAAGGTCCATGAGGTCCCGAAGAAGTATCTCCCCAAAACACCAAAGCAACTCCACGTCCTAAAGACCCAGAGGCATGGTTGGCAACTTGAGGTGTAAGTTCATGAGGACTCCGGGACGTGCCTTACTTATGTTTCAAAGCTCACCAGTAGTCATGGAAGGCTACATAATAAAATAGGGGATCTTCCTCGAACTTAGGTCGAATAGAAACTTGGACGGGAACATGCAATAAAGAAAAGGAATCTAATTTAAATCATTGAAATCAATGAGATCGCGCATGCCTCATCCTCTACTCAGAGGAAAGTCCCGTGACATCCATCCGACCAGGAATTCTCAGCGGTGAGGAAGTTCCGCTCGTGGTGGAGGAGGTGCTCGCAGGTGACTGGGTAACTTAGTGGGCTGCCTATATCGTCCAACTAAGCCTTCACATTAATGACGTTCTACTCTGGGTGCCATTGAAGCAGAAAAAACTGCGTAGGAGTCATCCTATGAGGCTATGGAATTTTTCACAATGGCTAAAGAAGGACTGCCCTTGAGATTATTGCACTGACTGGGAAAGACTGCAACATATGATGCGATGTGCTATATTACATTAGCTACTCCCTCTTCAGTATGACTGCCTTCGCCTACAATGGAGGCTTCTAACCGATGCGGCATTCCACCGAGCCCTAATAAGGAAAAGAGCATCAAACGCTACTTGATGGCGTCATTTCACCTCAAGTGTAATAATTTCATCAATGGTCACGGTGGTCACTCAGACACTGTTCGTTATTTAGTCAGTCAAGGATGATTTCTTTGCTTAGTTGCAATCTAATTTGCGGCCACTAAATTTTCCTCCCATCACACCAAAAATATCAGTCTTTATTTCACCCATACAGGTCTCCTCGCACGATTTCCTACCCTTCCTTGGAATATATTTTTTCTTCAGTTGCAAGACGAAACTTTTATTAACCCTTGACTATTGAAAGGAAGTCCCCAAAATAGAAACGGACACGTTCTCACCTGAGACGGTCTTGTACATGCCGGCCATGAGCGCCTTAGAGCTGGTAGTTGGATCGATGTTGAGCAACACCTCTTTCCTCAAAGACGGTTCGTCCCTCGACAAACTGGGCCACATGTTCAACCCATCCAATTGCGGTGGCAAGTCACTCATATTCCCTCCTGTGGGGAAAACAAATTGCAATGGAATTCCTGAGCTTCAGCTGCAGTATTAAGAGGTTATTACCTGCCAGGTGGTAGATTGTAGGGAGCCAGTCGGAGATGTGCATGAGTCCCTGGAACACCCGTTGAGGCTTTTCGATCAGGGGACTCCAGATAGCACCGACCGCACGAACACCCGCTTCGAACAGGGTTCCTTTCATCTATTAGATGAAAAGGATGGTCTCTCTTGAGCGAGCATCGGCTATCGACATGCTGGTTAACGGGCCGTCACGAAGTGAGCCTCATCGGAATGCACGGTCAAAGATAAGTACGTGCGAAATAACTGGTTATGAAAGAGGAGAATAAAAGAAAATACAAGATGGAAATAGGTCGGCGTCGGGATCGGCGTTTGGCACCAAGACCCACCCCACTCTAAGCACCGGTTCCTGAAGTTCCTCATTACTCATTTAATTCATTTGCAATTTCTTCTCTGAAGGTAGAGAGCTCGCTAAGAAGTAATGTGGGCATTCAGCGGAGGATTCCCAGAAGAGTAACAAAGGCAAACCTCCGAGCGTCACCGAATGATTAAAGAGGAAGAGAGAAAAGGCAGGGGACCCCTCTGAGCGGGAAGTTGTTTCCCCGGCTCCCCTCCACGTCCCCAACCCCTCCGTTGTCGGAGGTGAAGACGAGGACGGAGTTCTCCAGCATCTCGTTCTCCTGCAACGCCGACACGATGCGCCCCACGGACTGGTCCAAAAGGTTCAGCATCCCTGGCATTCCAGCAGAAATGAGTTTTGCATGTTGCGACGGATTTTTTGATCTGCGGATTCCATCAGGAACTCGAAAATATACATTTTATCTGGCACATATTTTGTCCTGCGACAAATTGCAAGTAATCGAAGTTCTTGAAATGAGGACACTGTCCTCCAGAAGTCGTTGTTTCAAGTCCATCTTATGTGAATGCTACACATAGAAGCCACCTTCTTCGGCATTCTTCAAATTTCGCACAGTATTCGGACAGTTTCTTACTACAGTCATCTGTAAGATGAGGGAACTTTCTCTCCAGGATACCATCCAAGCTTGACACTGCAAACGATCGGACCTTCTCTGGTGGCTGGTGGAGAAGGCGATTTAGAGCGAAATCGCGATATTGGCGTTTGGTATGCATAATTGTGCTTCTTTCCTATCCATTTACTCGGGAAAGCCCGTCAATACGCTTTCGAAGATTCTATTTATTCTCGCTAGCATTTCTTCACTACATATCCGTGAATGGTCTGAAAGGCTCACTGACCTGCGTAGATGCGTCGCTTGGGGTCCTGGATGTACGAAAAATGAGCCACAATGTCTTCCGGAGCTTGCAAGGGTTCCCCACTTGTTCCTCCGATGTGGGGTGCCAAATGGGCGAAATAGAGGAATAATGGCCTGGTTTCACCTCGGTGACCTCGGATGATCTCGACCGCCCTGTCGGTGAAAAGGGTCTTGGAATATTTCCCTGCCGTTTCATTAGCGGCTGGTTTCAGGTCTTCCCTCATGTCCCATCCCGTCATCGTCATATTCTGCAAAAATGCAAAGTAATTATTGTTATCATGGGTCGAACTGAATATCGCATTTGTTCAAGACAACAATATGGTTTCCTGCCTCTTTTTTATATCAATATATTGATAAAGGAAGTGTAGACGATGCTGCAATAGAAGGAAAAAGTACATTCTCGTGTCAGGGTGAATTGGTTACACCGGTTGTGGAACGGGTGAGGATTATACTCGACAATAATGTAAGCTGACTCAATCCTGGGTATGTGGAAATCTTCTTTCTCCTCATGAAAATAAAGTATTGAAAACGTGAAAGCGTCATTCTGCTTTGTCACTTTCTCGGTATTTTTTCATATTAAAAATGTATGACGAACCAAAGTGCTGCTATTCTCTTCCAGCCGATGGCTGAAGTAGTCCTGGTGCGACCCCAGTACCCGAAATGGGAGGAGAACCCCCTCCGGGTAGGAGCGAAGGCGCGCCGGCAGAATCCCAGATGCCACTTCCCCACCGCGTGGCTCGCATAGCCCAGCGCGTTCAGGAACTCCGGCAGGATCCGCTCGTGGGGGTCCAGGCCCCTCCAGCGGTCGTTCGAGATCACGCTGGTCTGCATCCCTGCGTGATTTTTATCCAAAGTCAACCGTTTAGGTCGGACGCACTTACGTTATCATCTGGGCAATATGTTGCAACTCTGTGAAATGTTATTAAAATAAAACTTCAATCGCAAGTCAAAAACCTTAATTTCTTTACTGATATGAAAGTTCTATTCCTTGGTGCGAAAAGTAATTGGAAACGTATCAGCGACTCTGTTAACTCGTGGAATCTTTCAGTTTCAGCAGTAGGGTAACTTGGGGGAATATGGACACCAAAAATGAAATCAGGTTATAGCGTCACGTCTCGGTGAAATAAAACTTTGCCAATATTCAGAAAATATTGATTTATGTCTCCTTTATTTATTCCCAACAAGATCCGTGCAGAAAAGTAAATGGGAAAATAGTGTTTGGGACCTCTTCACCTGGGTCCCAAGAGGCCATATTACCCTATTGTTGGGGGAATATGGCCAGGCATTATTGGGAATATGGCCCTACAAAATGAAACCTGGTCATCATGGTCCATCAAGGTTGAATTTGACTTTTTTTCAATGTTTCTAAAATATTGATGGATATCTCCTTTGCTAAATGCCAGCAAGGCGTATGCAAAAAAAACCATGGTTATGGCGCCTTTGGGTCTTTTTTGAGTAGGTCTC